CTAGAGGTTGTAGCTAATAAACATTGCTGAACTGAATCTGCATGGTCTCCTGGAGTTCCGTGGGCTAGGCCTGACAGCAACAGTTAAAAGTGTGAGCACAGGTCATAAAGCACTTTTTCCAAGGCCGGTGTAACTTCAAACCATTGTTAAACAAATGGTCATTAAGCGAGACTACCTGTAATGCAGTATGAAACTGACCATAATTGGAGGAAAAACCTTGGAGCTTGTCAAAGGGATCCATTCCCATGTGGCCAAACCAAAAGTTTATTTTTATAAAGGGTTACCTTCAGGTTATGTTGATAACATCATTACATATCTGCTGAGCAAATAAACTCTGCCCTCCAAAAAAAGTCCTGTTTATTTTCTTCTGTCAACAGGCTCAACCTACCTTAACATTCCCTTTCTTTCACCCAGAACAAAGCAAAGTTCTATGTAGCAACAGCTAGATTGACCCCACAGTACTCATTGGACACATGGCTAGCTTAATAGTTGACCTTAAAAAAACAAACATGCAGCCATCAAGCCAGCTAGCCACCACCTGAAACCCTCCCAACATGGGGTCGCAACTCTCCAAATTCCCAGCCAATCTGGTGCCCCACGGGCTGGGGATGATGCAGCTTGTAGTCTAGCATATTGGCAGGACACCAGCTTGGGGGAAAATGGGTGTAGACAAATGCAGACTAATCTGCTATAGTCACATGAGTGTCTGGTACCGAGGAGAGAGATGCTCTCGGTGCACAGAACCATCTTGCAAATGGTACAATTAGGTAACGTTAAACTCAGCACGGCCATCATCTCCTAATTCCCAGCATTTCAGATCTTCTTTTTTGTCCTTCCAGGTTACGAAGCCAGCCTTCAGGGTTTGTCAGTTGATGAAGACCCTGGACTTGTACCCCAAGGTCTTCCTTGGACTTGTACCCCAAGGTCTCGCCGTGAGGGCTTCCCTGGAAACTTGGAACGTGAGGGAGGGTGGGGAAAGATAAACCAACACATTTCTGGGACAATGTTTCTCTCCTGATCTTTTGTGCTTGGAGATCGTCTGGTCATTTTGGCTTCAGTTCTGCCTCCTTATGGAAGAAGAAAACCACAACAAAAGGTCTGTTGTGTTGGTAGAGGTGTAGTGACAAATATTAACCAGGAAGTAAGAAGAAAGGGGGCATTCCTTGCTTCCACCCCAGCAGTAGTTTGAGCAGGGACAGTCTCGGGCCAGGTGTTCCATCTTCAGTCCCAGGCTGAGTCCTTCTCAGCGTCGCTCCTTCCAATGCCTTCTTTTCCTGCTCCAGAGGCTGGTAAGGGTGGCCCCTGTCAGCCAGGCAATGGAGCGATGCTTTGAAGGGGATCTCGAAATCAAGGGAGAGATCCTAAGATCTGCAACAAAATGTTGCATGGTGGGGCGCTACTGGTCTGGAGCTTCAGGCTCCAAATTTAGAGACACATACTTCTTGGGTCAAACCAAGTGCACTTAAAGGATCAGAAGGAGTTCGGGAGCACCTTTTCCAACGAACACATTTTATGAAAAGGCTAGCCACTCTGTGCATCTGAGGAAGCAAGCTGCATGTCACAAAAACTATTTGTCTTTTCATAAAATGCATTTGTTGAAAAAGGTGCTCCCAGACTCCTGGTTTCTTACTACCAGAGACTAACACGGCTCTCCTCCTCCAATGCACTCAGAGACTCTCTTGCAGATAGACATGACTGGTTTTTCCTGGGATAGTCCATATTAACCCTGGTCCCCACCAGTCAGCATTCTGATCCTCTGAACAATTTAGAGTTATATCTGCTCAGGCTGATAACTTATGCATTATCCCCACAGTTGCATTCACATTGCACATGTGGCTATTTTTGTCTGTATTCCTGCACCATATTTAGCCCAGATGGCTTGACCATGGTGTACAGAAGAAGCCCCGGATTGCTGGCTTCGCGCAAGATGATAAGCCCTAAAAGCTATGGTTCGCAAACCAGACTGGCTAAGTTCAAACAACACACGAAGGCAAAACCAAACCAACCACATTTTTCTGCTTTTCGTAAAAGCCGCATGCAAATATTCCATGCAAAGTTGCAAAGCTCTGCACGAGGTAGGTGTGTTTGTTGTGAAAGACACACTGCTGAGAAGTTGGCAAAGTGGATTAGAATTTCACAACTTTACCCCAACCTGCTGGTGTGTCAGATAGACACAGACTTATTGAACCTCTGCAATTGGCAGCGACTTTCCGCAAACAGCCTACCAGGATACTGATGTGCACACTGCCTAAAACGTAGTCTTGGCCGGCGCTGAGAACGATTAGCATAGCCAAAAATGTGTTTACAGGTATTCTTATCTTAACCATTTTCCTATCAGCGATCAGATAATTGCTCGATGCTGCCCCCTGTTGGCTCTGTGGAAAATAGGCGGAGGGATGTATCGATCGATCGATCGCTGCAGGGCGAAAAATACTTTATCCCCTAAAACTTCTCGCCTGATTTAGAACTTGAGCTTGGCAGGGGAAATGAAGCCTGGGCCAAAATAAATAAATACATAAATAAATAAATGAAATCAAACATCCTTATCTCTAGATGATCAAAGAAACATGTCTGAAAAAATGGGTCAGTTTTAGGCAGGGAAGGAGAGCTTCCCTTTGTGTCCTTTGGAAAACCGTTGCTGAATTTCTGCCTGTTGCGCAGCTACGCAGAGCAAGGGGCATGGGGTGGTGGTAAACCTTAACAGCGAGACGGGGGGAATTCTCAGGCCTGCAGTAAGTTGGCAACCTCTGAATTAGTTGCATTAATTCAGTGGGAAAAGACTTATTCTTCGGTTTATGGCAGGAGAATTCTGGGAGACGGAGTGCTGATTTCTCTGGAGGATTAGCACTTTAAGGTGTGTGGACTTCGACTCCCAGAATTCCCCAGCCAGCACATCTGGGGTTCAGCGGGGAGGAGACGCAGCTTGAGTGGGATGGGGAGAGACCCGGAGCAGGCTAACCCAAGAGCGCCTGGACGGCAGCCTCTGTGCTGCCACAGTATGATGGGTGTTGTGGTCTCAAGCATCTGGAAGGGCAGAGGGAAGGGCAAAGGCTGGCCGGCCCGGGATATCTAGCAGCTGTGGGCAGGGAGTCTCCTCAAAAGCCCAAAGACGGCCGGATCGAGATCTGGGAGTCAAGCCGGATCGCCGGGCGGAGGTCTGGGCGCAGAACCGGTGCGCCTCCGTCGCGCCGAATCGACGGCTGGCCAAGACCTTGGCAGGATCCGGGGAGGCGACCCGCCCTGATCCGCGGGTTCCTTTCCAGCCCTGTCCCCCACCCCGGCGGCCTTGGGGAGAGCCGGACTACAATTCCCATCCCTCCCCGACCCCTTCCCCAGGGCGCAGCATCCCAGCCGCCGCCAGCAGCGGGCAAGTCCCCGCCACCCTCCAGGGCTCACCGGGCAGCTCGAGCAAGGACTGGAACTCCCAGCAGTTGTGGACGCCGGTGGAGTCGGTGGCGCAGCTCTGCCACAGGTTCTCGTAGATGGTGGAGGTGGTGATGACGTTGCCGGAGACGCTGGAGACCCTCCAGTAGCTGTTGAAGAGGGTCACGGCCAGCACCGCCCACCCGACGGTGCTCAGGAAGAAGCCCACCGCCCCCC